GAAAAAAGAGCTTACATATGTATATTCGATGTGTTAGATACTAATTTTAAATCAGGACTAAAGCAGTCCTCATCCTAAAAAAAGTAATAAGTTGTGTGTGTGTATATATATGTGCATGTGTATATATGTGTAACAGAGGTAGATAAGAAAGAATATACATTTTGATTTACAAATAGATTCCTTTCTTACTAAATGCTAAACATAATTTCCGATTCCTATATTAAGCTGGGTTAAACTTCAGAATATCGACACTTAGAAAATGCACTTACCACCTGTCCGTTGTGTGGGTTCTTATGAGCATAGGGAGGTCCACGGATATGGTTCCACATCTGGCCAGAAGTCATAGCAAAGACTATACACTGAAAAACAGGGTACAGTATTTCAATATGTAAACCAGAGAATACCAGAATATTTCACTTTAAAAAAAAAAATGGTCATCATAAAACTATCATTTAAAAATGATCTTTTAGTTCATCCATTAAAAAATGTTTCACTTACTAACTGTGGGACTTTGGGTAAGTTACTTATTCTCCCTGCATCTCAAGTTCCATATCTACAAAATTGGGATACCAACTCTGCTACAGAGATATGTTAATGATTAAATTGGGTAACATATATAAAGCATCTGGCATGGTGACAGACAATCTGATATTATGTGCTCACCTGAACCAGTCAAAACACAGCAGAGACAACTGATCTTTCAGTGATATTTTAAAGCACATGATAATCATCTTCTATATCCTCTAAATTTCATTCTTACATTAGTTTGGATCACCAGAAGCCTACATTCTTGGATTACAGTACTTACATCTCTGTAAGTACCTAAATGCTTTCAGCAAAATATATGACATAGTAAATTCAGAAGCAGTTTACAGATGGAAGAAATCATAAAAAAGACATAGCCAGGAAAAATTCACAGAGATTATTTATATACCTGCTGGATCTATCAGAAACATCTGTACTTGGAAAACTAACCTTGAAGATTCAAGGAATTACAGGAAGGTTGGGAGAGAGAGTGGATAAACCAGAAGTCACAGTTCAATCACTGTGACTTATGTATAAGCATGTTTTGTTTAAATCACAGAATATTTTTAAATTAATCAACTGGAACACCTTTGGACTTAAATGTGTTACCTGCTGTCCTATAACTTGTCCAATCACCCTTTACTTCAACTGCGTGGCTCTGGCAGGTATTTGTGTCAAGAAAGGTTAAAGGCAAGGATAAGGAATGCATGATTGGGGGTCTGAACATTCCAGGTTTGCACAATTTTAAAAGGAGAAAAAAAGGATACAAAAGGGGAAAAGATGGGGGCAAATTATGATGATATTTAAGCCATGAGAATGAGTTTAGATTCTATTCTATAAATGTTTGAGAGCCAAGGTGTTTCAACAGAAAATGATAATGACATAACA